CGGCCTCGGGCGCCGGGAGATCGCGTCCCGGAACAGGTAAGAGTGGGAGCCAGCGCGGAATGAATGGGCAGCCGGCCGCGGGTGCCGGTCCCCGCGCCTGGCTGCGGCGTCGCGTCGGGGAGGAAGCGCTACGCCGCTCAGGGTGCCGGGTTCGGTATTTGTATCTGATCTACCTAATCCCGGGAGGCCACAGGGACCCTCTCCCCTCCCCCAGATGGTCACACGTTTTGCTTCGTTTTACCCCCGGATGCAGAGCGGTTACGTTTCGGTTGCCCAGACTGCTTAGGGACATCTTTATGAGGGGGGAAAATGTAAAAAAATGACACTTGACCGTGGGTTTGCAGGGCCTACGGGCTCTGAATCTTCCTCAAGCCGCGTCAGTACTAGCACGTGTTGGCTCTCCAACGTTTTTGATGGGGGTTTTTTGTTTTGTTTTTTGGCGGGGGGCGGGGGGGCTTCCACTCCGACTCTTAAATTCCTGGGTGAAGCAATTGTAAATCAACCTTTCCCCAGGAGTCAATCCTATACATCACCCCTCAGTTTTGAGTGTCCTCTTTCTACCTAAGGGCAGATTTCGACCATCACAAACTACATACAAATTAAGTATGGCTTTTAAATGAATAGTTTCTCGCTCAGATCAAAGCAACTATTCTATGTAATATCTTTTTCAAACCTAGCAACTACTTCATAATACTTTTCTAGAAAGTGTAATTTGGTTGTTACCTCAAATTAGGTTATTGCCTCCAACATATTTGTATGACCATCCTTATTTACTAGGGTACATTTTGGTCGAGTTTTGGATTAGTTAAAGGACAGATTGCACACCAGAAAGTATAGGTTCATTGAGGCTTTCTTGTTTGTTTTTCAAGACAGGTTCTCCATCTGGCTCTAGCTGTCCTTTAACTGAATTGTAGACAAGGCTGGGTTGTAATTTACAGAGGTCTGCCTGCCTCTGCCTCCCTAGTACTGGGATCAAAGGAGGGCCTCCACCACTGCCCACTTGATTGAAGCCAAAACCTTAAGCCATCATCAACACCTTATTGGCAGACATTTAGACTTCGAATTTTTTTTTTAATTAAGGTGTTTAAATGGGTGTGGTGGCATATACCTGTAATCCCAGCACTCTGGCTAAAGCAGGAGGATCAAGATTTGGAGTGCCCTCCCACCCGGATACAGTCAGTACAGTGTATCACTCAGCACAGGTGCTTTAATATAGAAGACATAACATTAGAGATTCTAAGCTTTAGGCTGTTCAGAAGAGCTTTCTTTCCATGAAGAGGTGAGATTGGGGCCCCAGGAGATGGCTCAAATGGTGAAGATGCTTGTTACCAAACCTGAAGACCTAAGTTCAGTTCCAGGGATCCACGTGATGGAAGAAGAGGACTACTAACTCCTTCAGGGTGTCCTCTGGCAACCACATGTGCCTACGCAAATATAAATTTATTCGTTTATTTATTTTGGTTTTTTGAGACAGCGTTTCTCTGTGACTTTGGAAACTATCCTAGAACTAGCTCTTGTAGACCAGGTTGGCCTCAAACTCATAGATATCCACCTGCCACTGGCTCTCAAGTGCTGGGATTAAAGGTGTTCCCCACCAACGCCCATCTTTTGTTTTTCAAACAGGTGAGATTAAACAGAAGCAGATGTGGTGACTCCTTTCTGCTTGTTTTGGAGACAGGGTCTCAGTGTAGCCTTTACTGTCAAGGAGGTCTGCATCCATGCGTTGGGACTAATGGTGCTGCTTGTCTAGGAGCAGTTCTTGAATTCAAGGCCAGACTGGGCTGCTGGTAATGAGTTCCAGTACTGTGTGTCCTGAAGTGAGATCCTTAAGGGATAGGGTTTTCACAAAGGTTTGTTTCATTAAGTGAAACACCTTTTATTTTCATGGTTAAATTTGTAGTGTCAGAAGGGTAGGGCCAAAGTTCCTGGCACAGTAATGACAGTTCTTGATACTTTCAGGACTCAGAAGGTGGCTGGTGCTTGAGCTGGACTTTGAAAATATGGTTAGGGTTGAAAGGGTTGAATATGAAGCATTTTATTGAAGAAAGGCAGCAAAAAGGAAAGAAACTTTTTTAAAGAGTGAAAGAAGAAACACTTTGCAGAGTGGACAGTATTTTCCTAAATATCTTAGAAACAACATTTGATTTCTAAGAATTAATCTTTGTGTGTTTTTTATGCTACATGTGTGGTAGTACCTGAGGAGACCAGAAGAGGGCATTGGATCCTGGGACTGAAGTTAGGGACCCTGGAAAAGCAGCAGGACTCTGGCTACTGAGCTGTCTCTAACCCCTCCACCTTCCCTTTTCTCTCTTAGGGTTAGACCTAGACCTTTGCTCTTGTTAAGCAGATTCTTTTTTCTTTTAGAGAAAGGGTCTGATGTTGCCCAGGCTGATCTTAAACTTTGTTATGTGGCTATAGATAACAACAAACTCCTGATTATTCTTCCCTTACCTACAAAATGCAAGGATTACAAGCATGGACCACTATGCCAAGCAAGCAGATTGTCCCTAAACACCCCAGACTTGTTCAAAAGGCCCTGAAGGAACTGAAAGCTACTCTATCTCTTAATGAGGAGCAGTAGTAACTCCAGCTATACATTCATACTCTAACTTGATCTTGCAATTGGATGAGCACAGTCTCTTCCAGTTCTCACATACTGTATTGTATGGGCTTAAAAGGGAACCTTGGGGAGTGATCTTACTAGCCATGTTGCTTTCCTCTCCAAAGCAAAGACAGCATCCTGCAGTTACTGTGCTGCAGAGTAGTCTGTGGGCTTGGAAATGCTATTCTCCAGATCCCTCCTCCTCGCATGAACATTTGCAAATCCTTTAACTTTGGTTGCTGTATCTTACTGACAGATGTCATCCAGAAAAGATTTAACACATATATCCACAAACTTTGTTGAACAGTGTACCTACTGTTCCCCATGCTAACTACAGCAGGAATTGAGAACAATCTTTGTGGCCGGAGTTGTTGGGCCAAAACTTTGAAGGAGCCGAAGAAGAGTGTACACTGAAGAGGGGATAGTAGTGGAACAGGGAGAACACCTTCATGAAAATGCACAGTTACAGGTTTGGTTTCCTCAAGACAAACTTGAATTCTATCCAGCAAATGTCGCTGGTGCTTCTATGGGCTTGGGAATATTTTATGAGCTTTACCCCGCCTTTCCAAAGCTCCTCCCCCATTTTATTTTATGTTTAGGGGTATTTTGCTTGCATTTATGTCTGTGCACCATGTACATGTCTGGTGCCTGAGGAGGTGAGAAGACGACATTGGCTTCCTTGGAATTGGAGTAAGCCGCTCTGTAGGCCCTGGGGAAGAGCGCAAGTACTCTTAACTGCTGAGCCTTATCTTCAGCCCCAGCTGCTACTTAGAAGTTTGAGGCGCCATGAAGAGCATTCTGAAAGAAGGAGAAGTAAGGCCGTTGCCCTGGTGTATTGGGAGGAGCAGGAAGAAGGGAAACTGAGCCACATGTTAGGGGTCACCTACCTCTGACTCTCAGAACTTACAGGGCTTCCATAGCCTTTTAAATAGTGGTCATCATACTTTAGGAAATACTTAGAACTTGAGCGTTTAGCCCTGTGGTAAAGCCATTCGGTTAGCTAGGGTGTTCTGGATTTATTTTGTCCTATGTGTCTTTGGGTTTTCCTGTGCTGAGGATTGACCTAGGGGATTCCCTTAACACATGGTAAACGATTCTGAGACACTGAGCTACATCCCAGGCCCTTAGAGTTGTTGTGTTCTATAATAGGGTCTTCCTGTGGAAGGAAGAAGACTACATGGCCTTGAATAGAACACTCTTAGCATGAGCCCAGCATGATAGAGATTAGACAAGAGTGCTCAGGGGAAAAGAAAGATGAAGAATACAAATGTCTCTGTAAACCTTTTTCTTTTTCCGGTGTCAAAAAATGTCAGGGCCCACTCAGGTTTTCTGAACTTTTGATAGCTGTAAGTTGAACCTGAACATTTGGTGGTGTTCTGTCTGGCATGACCTTGTGGGGTGTATAAGAAGACTTGCTTCAGTAAGGGCTTTAGAAGCCTGCCTACAATTCTTATTGATATATTTCTTATACCTTCAAAAATTCGAGATTGGTATGAAATGATAGGGTTTGTGCAAAAAGAAAGTTTAAAGTCACCTTGAGAATTTGAGTAATATGAGAAGTCATGAAAGGAGTATCAGAGTGTTCATTCCCGCTCTATAGCAAGTTCAAGGCCGGCCTGAGAGGCATAAGAGCCTGTCTCCAAAGTATACAATACACTAAAGTCAGAGAATGTAACTCATTGGTACAGCCCTTCATTCAGTCCTCAGAACCAGCAACAGGTGTTTACAGTGATGTTTCTAGGAAGTCCCTTAGTCCTCGAGCATTGTTTCTCAGTTTTCCTGTGTCTCCCTTTTTATCTGGCTTTCCTACAACTCTCTAAATCCAGTGCTGGGTACTGAATCCTATACCTTTTGCATGCTAGGGGGACACTGCCATTGAGCTAAATTGCCAGTTGGTGGCTCTAAGTGGGAAGGGCATCTGGAAAGTGGCAGTTAGGCCTCTCTATAGAATGAGGAAGCCAGTGGAGACCATGCTCTATGCCAGAGGTACTGAAGCTGCCTTCTGTGTTGGCCATCATAACCCTTAATTTCCCTGCTCAGAAATACCCTTGAAAAGTAAGCAGGATGGTACAAGCTTGTGGTGCCTGCCCTCAAGAGGCTGAGACCAGAGGATGTCAAGTTTGAAGCCTGCCTAGTCTGCATAATGAGGTCCTGTCTCAAAAACAACAGTGGCAACAAAAATCAAAGGGGAAAGGTCTAAATAAATATGCCTTGGATGTGTGTTCATAGATTGCTCCTGATTGGTCTGCTTCACTTTGAGGACAGGCATGCTTACAAGGCCTAAGATATATCACCCACTTTTCCTTAGAGCTGTAGCTAAAATTAGTACAGCTGTTTAAAATTTCTATTTTAAATATATTGTTTGTTTGCTTATGTGTGTGTGTCTGTGCACGTGTGTAGGTTCCTGAGGAGGTCATAAGAATGTATTAGATCA